AAAGTAGTCTTCACTCTAACAATGCAAAATGTTTAAACAATGTAAAGATAATTTTCACATTAACAAAATATCTAAAAGAATCATCAAAGGAAACAACATGTCGCCAAAGTAAGCTGTACTCTACCCATATCGCAACACCTCTTGTCCATGTGCCTGTTCCCTCGGCGTCTCCTGAGACAAACAGCCTCACAATCACGGTGAAACCTTAGCGAGCTAATCATGGGAGGTGTGGGAATGAATGGGAGCTGAGCAGATGAGGTCAGCCGTGCTGCCTCGGCTGAGCTTCTTGACTCCCATCTGGCAGGCTGTTTTTCTGGGTTCATAATGCCATGTTTCCTGATTAGGATTTTGTGATTACAGGTTTTGTTTGGATTTTTCTGTTTTAACTTGTATGATGTCAATTTACTTATCTGTTTGTGTATGTGTTTGTTTGATAAAACCAGGATCTTCACATTTTGGAACCTGCCTTTTTCATGTAAGTACTACACGGTGAACTTTCCCCCCCATTGTGGAAGTTTCTGGCCCCTGGATTTGAGTGGCTGCATTGTGTCCATTGTGGGCAGTGTTTTGAAGTGGGCGTGGGAACAGGCATGTATGAGGGAGGGGGCAGTGTTGGTCAGGCCCCCTTACTCCATACCCGTGGCTGTCAGTCAGGTGGGCCTCAGCACCCCCAGCTCCTGGGAGGGGGGCCCAGGGCACTATCCTGCATGGTAATGGAACCATCTCTCCTATCTCTCACCACCTGCCCCACAGACGTGCTCTGAAGTCAGGCCACCTGCCCCGTCATCGATCATGGAGCACCCGCCCTTCCCAGAGGCTGCCACTTCCTAAGCATTTCCTCTTCTGACTGGCTTTCCTGAAAAGCCTGCTCTGAATCACAGTCCAAGGTTCAGGCCTTGGATGTGGGGCTTTTCAGATGTTCCTGAAGTCCTTTCCTCCAGGGCCGTCAGGGCAAGGGGTCCTGGAAGGGATGAGGGGAGGGATGTGGGAGGCGTGTGTAGGACTTGCATCACCCAATAGATCCCAGAGTGAGAAGACACAGGACTAAGTTGGGAGAGGAAACCCCTGGATTAACCTCAGCTGCTTGAGCAATCAGAAGAAGGCTGGGTTAAGGAGACAGAGGAACCCGGGGCAAGCTAGGAAATGGAAGTGGGCCATAAATCCCAACCCCAGCCTTCTGTCCCTGGACAGGGATGCTCCCAGGAGTACCTAAGGCCAGGCCTTTCTTCCTAAAACTGAAGTCTCTGACACCCCCACTGGCCCCAGAGAATTGGCCTGTACCTTTAAGGGGGAGTACAGCAGAGGCCTTGGCCAGAGGCCTACATACTTTCCTTTTTTTTGTAGAGACAAAGTCTCATTTTATTGCCCTCGGTAGAGTGCTGTGGCATCACAGCTCACAGCAACCTCCAACTCCTGGGCTTAGGCAATTCTCTTGCCTCAGCCTCCCAAGTAGCTGGGACTACAGGCACCCGCCACAACGCCCAGCTATTATTTTTGTTTCAATTTGGCCAGGACCGGGTTTGAACCTACCACCCTCGGTATATGGAACCGGCATCCTATCCACTGAGCCACAGGCACCGCTCCATACTTTTCATAGTATCAGCAAGTATACAGCTTTTCCTCCTTAAAGTTAATCCTTACCCCAGGTGTTAAATTTACCTTGTTAGAGATATTTATAAATAAAGCTGCTTCCACAGTTCCAGCCACAGACCTCCAGACTTCATTTTGTCTTTTGAAGGGACATCTCCGACACCTCCCACCAGCAAAGTCACCTTGCTGGCTGCTTTTTCCAGGCTCCCTCCCATCCCTCTGTCCCTGCTTGGAGCTCCCTCCCTTTGGAAATGTGAAGTAAAGTTCTCCTACTTCCTGCTTCCAGAGCACAGCCCTACCCCTGTGCTCCCATTCATCTCACCCTCTTCATTTCCTTCTTTTCCTTTATCAGGGCTCTGATTAGATGTGTTTATTTCTTCTACCTTTGGAACATAAGTTCCAGAGAGATCGTATCTTTCCTGTTTACTCTCTGCCTGCTCATACCAGAGAGAACAGCCCCATGCCTAGCTGGGGACGACAGTGATGGGGTGGGATCTGTTTCTGGGACTCTCCAGCAGGCCCAGGGCCCAATGTGACATCAAGGCTATGCCTCAGCCAGGCAGGCCACCAGCAAGAGGCTGTGCTCTGGGGTCTTCTCAAGCTGACGTGGCACCCCTCCACCTCTAAATACCAGAGGCCTGCCCTGCCTCCCTTGCTCCCTCCATAGACACAGAGCTCTTTGCTCCAGAGCTCTCCAAAGCCTCCAGTTCTGACCGGGCCTGTTCTGGAGCTTCTGAGGCACCACCTCTTCTCAGGTCAGGCCAGGGTGGCTGTGCCCCTGGGTCCCTCCCCATATCCCCTCCACCCTCAGCAGCCCCTCTCTTTATATGCTGAGAACCAGCAAGGGCAGAGCCTTCTGGGGGCAGCCGGCCAGCAACCTCTTTGTTGCCGCACCTCTGTGCACACAGTGATTGTGTCACCACTGGGTGACGAAGGCAGGCATTTCCACTGGGCATTCCAGGCAGGGGTGAGCAGCTAGCCAGGTACCAAGGTATGAGTCTTCAAGAAATTACAAGCTGTTCCCTAGGCTGAGAGTGGAGTACAGGCAGCAGGACAGGGGAGAGAAAGCCAGACTCAGGGAGCAGGACCCTTAGCACGGAGGACCTCATCTGCCGTGATAAGGAGCTCAAATCCTGCCTTGCTCTGCCAGCAGCGGGAAGTCAGGGAGGGCTTTCGGCAGAGGAGTGATGATCAAATTTCCAGTTAAGAAAGAGTCCTTATCCCCCATGAGGAAGGGCCAACAAGAACAAGAGACTGTCATGTGGTCAAAGACAGAGGGCTTGAGGGGGCCTAAGGATGGTGGTCAGCGTGGGGAGAGAGGATGTGCTTCGGGGATGGCCTCACAGGATGGGTGACGGGTCGGCTGTGAGAGGCTGAGGGAGGGCTCAAGGGCATTCCAGGTCCCTGCTGGGACACATGATTGGGTGCTGGCACCTGCACTGAGACTAGAACACAGGAAGAGAGGTTGGCTTGTTTGGAAAGAGATAATGAACTTAGGTGGAATTCCAATGTGTCTGTAAGCCCTCCAGGTATATCCCAGCACCTAGCACAGTGCGGAGCAGTCAGGAGCCTCAGTTCCACAGAAAGCTGTGGATTGAATGAATGAATGAATAAGGTCCCCTAAACCTTTGAAGCCTTGAAATTTCAGGGAAATGCTCTCTGAGCCCCACCTCCTTCCCCTCCCATCTGAGTCCTACCTGGAGCTTTCTCTGTGCAGAAGCATCAATTACAGCTTCTAAATCCACAGGTATGGATGGCTTGGCCTCTCTATCCTTCCTAATGTCCTTCTTCCCCCTGGAGACTCCACTCTCACAGACATCCACAACACTTGGCTCCTTATCCCCAGCCCCAGACCACAAAGGGTTCCTGCCTGAGCAGAACCACACCGCTCCCAGAGACATCCCTCAAAGATGCTGCAGAGTGCAAGGTGCTGAGAATGCCAAGAATGCCAGGAAGTGCTTGTTTCTCTGCCCAAAGATGTCATGTGTTTCTCTCCAGTGGGTCATGCCCTTGCCCCAGGGCCATGGTAGTGAGCTGTGCTCACAATGACCTGAGCACAGGCCTGTCCTGTGGGCAGGAGGGGCCTGGCCCTTGCTGGGCAGGAACAAGGTCATGGCTGGGAATCCAAACCAGGATTGGAGTGGAATGTGGCTGTGGCCTTGATGGAGTTGGAATGGGACTGAGGGAGGCAGCCGGGGGACAAGCCATGCTATCTTAAAAGAAGCTGAGACAAGAGGGTCAGGAGGGCTGCTTCCCATGGGGCCATGGCTGTGTCCTATCCCACAATGGAGTCTCTCAGGGCCCCACACAGCCCAGGTGCAGAGGGCCCCTCGCTGGGATGCATTCCCTGGACTCCAGGACATCCAGTATTGGGTGGGGTGTAGAGGCAGGAGAAAAGGTTAACATCTCCTGAGGTGGCTCCAGGGACGTTCCATTCCTCATGCTCCTCAGGACTTTCCATCACAGATCTTAGTGACAGTGGGACCCTGAACCTTGGGACATGAGATTCCACCCTACACTGGTATGTCCCCTCCTCTCCCTTCCCTTCCTGTCTTGTCCCCTTGGTTTGTGTTTGTACCTGACCTCGAATATTTGACTGAGTTCTCAGAGGGCAGAGAGTCTTGCCCACCCTGGGTGCCAAGGAAGGCTTTTAAATAAAATGAAGTACAAGGACTGGGGGGTGTGTCATGAATGGAGACAGAAACAGGCCGCAGCTTCCCATCTTTAACTGAAGCCAGCCAGGCATCCATAAAGCATCTGAGGCACAAGGAGGGGTAGAGAAGGAAAGACAGTAGAATAAGCGTCTGTGGGTGAGAGGGCTCCCTGCTTGGTGAGAGGGGCCAGAAAAATAAGGGAGGCCCTTACTAGAAAGAAATCTTGGCCCCCACATAATGTCCAGTCAATGCTGGAGTACAAGTGACCACAAGCACGTGGGGGCAGCACACTCACACACAGAGCACATGTGCCAGCCCTCCCCTTCCCCTAGGCCTGGGGTCCACTTCTAGCTGACCTATCCCCTGACCACAGAACCCAGACTCTCCGGGCCATGGGTGCCCGGCTGTGGCCCAGAGCCCCAGACAAGGTGCCCAAAAGGCAGAGGGAAGAGGCTAGGGGCAAATGGTGGAAGAAGCCAGGAAGCAGGGGTCTCTGGCTGAGTTCAGAGAACCTGTCGGCACAGGCACTGCCATGGGCCTAGCTCGGTGTTGAGCGGGTGGTGGCCCAGGAGGCCTCCCTACCCATCAGAGTCCAAAGAGCACAGGCGTGGCTGGCTTCATAGCCTCATCACCGCAGAGTTCACCTGCTTGCTAGCAGGGCTCTGCCTGTGGCCACAGCAGAGAAGCCGCTGTCCTTCTGCCACCAGCACCAGACCACCAGATCAGAGACCAGCCTCCTGGGGGGACCAGCCACCAGGCATCACTGGCACCCAGGTAAGGGACTGGCCTCTCAGGGCCCAGCCCACCCACAGGGATCCCAGGGCAGGTACAGGCAACTCAGTAGATTCCCAGGCCAAGGTCCCCAGCCCACTCCAGATGCCGCCAGGAGGACCAACCCCAAGGACAGGCTTAGGGCTCAGCAGCTGGCTGGTGGGCTAGGACACAAAGCAAAGAAGTCCAGGCACCAGAAGCATCTCTGGGATGTTTCTAGTTTTAATGTAGATATGCCTTCCCTACTCCAAACCCTTACATGTAGAGGATAAGGGAAGAAATGGGCTACATGGCTTCCCACCCCCCAGAGGCAAGGCAAGCCAAAGCCAGCCCCCTCTTCCATTCCTGGGGTCTGGATCTTTAGCAACAGCTATTTTCCCACCTCAACCGGCCCACAGGGACCCCCCTGACATGTGGGAAGAAAATAGTAGGGCAGAGCTCACTTTCTCTCCCTCGTCTAGAAGCAGGAAGTGTCACAGCCTGGAGGGAGGTGAACGGAGAGGGAGTAGGTTTGAGCCCACTTTCCCCTGAGAGAGGAAAGGGGGCCTCCCAAATAAGGGAAACAGACCTGGCCACCCCCTCCACATTCCATAATAGTTCACCGCCAGTTTATTACCCCATCCCTGAGTCATCTTGTTGAATCCTCTGTTATTTTCATAACAGTCCCGATAAACAAGGGTGTGGGCTGCTCTCCCACACTTTCCCCAGGACACTCCAGGGTTCCCTACAATTCAGATGCACCATATGCATGTGCAGATACCCCCAAACAGACACCCTACTAGTAATGCATCCCCACCGCATCAGATAACACGCACCCCTGACCTGCGTGCCAGGCCAGCTCCCACCCCACCCGCATACACACACACACACACATACACACCCCACCTTGAATCCTCCTCTCCAATTTTGACATTTCTGTATTCCACACCCCCACCCCATGCCATCTCACACCCCAGTGATGGAGGCATGTTTATAAACAGTGAAGACACCTATTTTGCAGCCAGATAGACCTCAGGCCTGTTACCCTCTTTGAGCCTCTGAGTCCTCATATGTAAACAGGGTCTGTAACAGTACCCACTTCCTGAGGCCGTTATGAGGATTAAATGAGTTGATGTGGGTAAAGCCCTTAGAATGCAGATCAGCACATAGCCCCACTGGTGTGACTGCTGTTATTAGAGGTATGTCGGGAGGGTGCCCTGGGCAAGGCAGAGTGGGGTGGCTGAGAAGGATTTCACGGAGAAGGTGATCCTTAAGCTGTAATTTTTTTTAATTAATTTATTTTTTAATTAAATGATAGCTGTATACATTAATGCAAACATGGGGTACAGTGTAGTGTTTTCATATACAATTTGAAATACTTTCACCAAGCTGGTTAATATAGACTTTATGTCATTTACTTAGTTATTGTGTTAAAACATTTATACTCTAGTTCTAGAAAAGTTCACTTGTACCCTTGTTAGACCATATAGGTGATCTTTCCAGTCGCCCTTCTCCTCTCCCCTTCCCCGCCCCCTCCCTATATTCTTAGGCTAGAATTAAGTTGTAGCTTTCATTTGAGAGGTATAAATTAGTTTCATAATAGGGCTGTGTACATTGGATACTTTTTCTTCCATTCTTGTGATACTTTGCTATTAAGCTGTAATTGAAAGGGTTGGAGCAGGGAGGTGATCTAGGCAGAGGACACAGGGTATGAAAAGCAAAGAGACAGGAGACTGGGTTGGACATTCAGGGAAGCACAGATCTCAGTTTGCAGAATTGAAGCAGGGTTGGACAGAGGCCTGCTTTGGTAGAGAAGTCTGCAGAACCCTCTGCCTTCCATACAGAAATTGGGTGTGGCCAACTTTACCTGGCCCAGGAGTCTATTTCCTGGACCCCTAGGCATGGGCTTTATTGACAAAACCCCTGCCCTGGGGCCCAGCCATTCTATGGCCTCCTGGTGCTAAGGCTGGTAGGCCCAGCCAAGATAGAAGTCTCTTCAGGGAGGACACCCTGGAGCCAGGGCTTTGGGTCTGGTTCCAGAGGGCCCAAGTTCAGAGCCCTGCTGTGCCTGGTACCGCAGTCTCCAGCTCTGCTGCTGTATCTCTGGTTTGCTTTGGTTCCAGGAAGCCATCCTCAGCACTATCAACATGTCTCGGCCCAGCAGCAGAGCCATTTACTGTAAGCTGTCCCCCGGGCCCCTGTCCCTTGCCCTCTCACTGGGCTCCCTCTAGCCCATCCTCTGCTCTTTCCCGCCTCACCAACTGCTGCCTGCAGCAGCCTATGTCTCCTCATCTCATGGTACTCTTCTGCCCATCTCCTATCCCCTGTTTTTTACCCCTGCAGTGCAAAGGAAGGAGTACTCTCAGAGCCTCAACTCAGAGCCCACACTCCTGCAGCACAGGGTGGAGGTGAGTGCCCATCATCTGCCAAAACACAGACACTTCACACAAGTCCCAGCCATGGAAGCCAACAGCCTGACCCAAACAGGTCCCGGGGACTCAGCTCCATCAAACCTGACTGAGCATCTGTTACTGGCTGGGGGAGGAGGAGGGAACAGTCATGGGCAAGACAGTGGGCTTGGCTGGAAGTTGAGGGGTGGAAGTCCTGTCTCCAGATAGAAAGTGGCAGAGGGAACCTGAGCCTGCAGAAAGCTGCCACCTGCAACCACCTACCCACCCTACCTGCTTCTCCACATGCTTCCTGTCACACTAGTGCCCAGGGAACTGCTCTTTGCCCAGGACCACAAAAGGCTAGAGGAAGGAAATGTGTGGGGTCTGCAGGCCCTGTGAGGGCCGGAGAAGGCCACTGTTGGAGAGGGGCAGTGCCTGGGCCTGAGCTCCCACAGTGGGTATGACCCCCTTGGAGGGCTGGAATGAAGTCTCTGGCCCTGCCTGGGAGGATGACACAAGCACTGCAATATCTAGTCAAGGCCAAAGTGACAGCAAAGCACTGGCTACAAAGTGTGGCTAGGGAAGAGTATCCCAGGTCAGGTCACAGCTCTAGGGTAGAAGCTGCCTGTGGCAGCATCAGATGCTAAGACTTTAATGGAGAAGAAGGGTGGCCTGGCAATGGTCTGGAGGCCCCACAGGGCAGTGGAGATGGGGATCTTCCAGCCAGCTGCGGACGGGCCAGGAGTGCTTGCCTCTATCATGGGTGGAGGCTGGAAAGTGGCTTCATTTAGGCCCAGCAAGTGAGAGCAAGAGGAGACATTTCCAGACGGCAGGTGTTTGCTCATGACGTGAGGGTCCCCCAAACATGCTGGTAGTGTAAACACAGGGAAAGGAGCTGGGACTTGGGCAGAGAGCAGGGCCCTGGAATCAAGGGACAGGAGGCAGACTGCATCTCTCCCCAACAAGAAATTGGGGTGGAAAGGCAATGTGGCAAGGCAGAGTTTGGCTAGGAGAAGGGAGGCGTCACCAACCAAATAAGAGTTGGTAACAAAATCCTACCAAATGGTCAGACTAGCAGTAGGCAAGGACTAGAGTGAACACTGAGATCACCGTGGATCTCTCCAGCAGGGAGAAGGTGGGAGAAGGGTCAGTGAGGAGGCAGATAGAGCTGGGACTGTAAGTTCCCACAGGGAGCAAAGGAAGCCAGGGACACAGTCTGAGAGTACTATTCTCAGAGTTCAGACATTACTGGGTGACTAGAAGCCACATCCACTACCATCCAGCCATGTCACCTAGCCTGGACAGTTAAAGGCCCTAACAATCCATTGAGCAAAGTCTTAAAACCCCTCACATAGCTGCTCAGACCCAGATTTAGAGTCCCTTTCCGAGCCTGACTGCGTCCACACGGGCCCTCACATTGGCCCTTGTTATCTGCCATTGTTATCTGCAGCCTGGCACCTTCTCCCTCAAAGGGCCAAGGACATGTCTCTTTCCTCTGCTTTTCCCTGTCCACCATACCTTGACCCTTCCCAAACCTTCTCCTAGTCCTGGGCTGCCTCTTCTCCCCTCAGCACTTGATGACGTGTAAGCTGGGAACACAGAGAGTGCAAGAGCCCAAGGATGCCCTGCAAAAGCTGCAGGAGATGGATGCACAAGGCCAGGTGTGGAGCCAAAACTTGATCCTGCAGGTCAGAGATGGCTGGCTCCAGCTGCTGGACATCGAGACCAAGGTCAGCTCTCCTACCACACCCAGCAGGGGGTCATGGCTAACCCAGACTGTGGGGAGTAGCACCAGGTTCTTGAACTCTACTCCTTCATGCCCCAAATGGCAGCCACCCCTCCCCATATACAACACACACCCAAGCCCAGAAGGAAACAGGGATGGAGGCTGGGACAGAGGCACAAGGGTCAGAGTAGATGACACCCCAGACCCAGGGCCTCCAAAGGGCTACAGCAACCTGGTCAGGGGTTCCCAGGAATCAAGCCTGGTTCTCAGTAGCCTCACGGTTAACCCTCCTCATGGCCAGGAGGAGCTGGACTCTTACCGCCTGGACAGCATCCAAGCCATAGACGCAGTGCTCAATGCCTGCTCCTACGACTCCGTCCTGTCCATCACCATGCAGGAGTCAAGACAGCAAGGCAGCAGCACTCTGCTCTTCCAGTGCCAGGAAATGGGGGTGAGTGGCCAGCAGTGGAGTTCAATGACCATCAGCCCCAACACACACACACACACACACACACACACATACACACACACACACAGCTTGCCTGACTACAGCTCCCTCTAGGCAGAGCGGCTGAAGACCAGCCTGCAGAAGGCCCTGGAAGAGGAGCTAGAGCAAAGGTAAGGAGCCTCTGCCTTGCCCGCCTGCAAAGCCTCATAGCTCAGACCTTGGGGGATCAGACACTGACCCCACATCTTGGGGAGTTCAGGAGCCTATGGCCCAACCAGCCTGGGCCTGGAACTAAGAAGGGACCAGGGCAGAGAAAGGGCTATCCTAGGGGTCACTGGAGACTGATAGAGGTCTCAAGAGGGCCCAGAGGGTAGGTGGGTGAGACGGGAGGAGTCAGGGAAGTGTGTAGATATAGACCAAGGAGCAGGCAGAAGGCTCCTGGAGAGAGGAAGTGATGCCCCTGGGTCCTGGGACAGAAGTGTAGGCAGGCTTCTGTCCCAAGAATCTTAAAGATGTGTCCCTACGTCCTCAGCATACCTCGATTTAGAGCCCTTCACCCAGGCCAGGACAGATGGAGGGGGGTTTCTCTGGAAAGGCCGCTCCCCATGCAGCCAGCACACCCCCTGGAGCAAGGGCTCCCTCCAGAGCAGCCCCACCAGATGACCCCAGAGCACAGTAAGTTTGGGGCTTGGTGGCAGGTGGAGGAGCAAATTTATATCAAAAGTCAAGGAAGAGCTAGGTCTATGGTCCCCTTACATTGCAGGCCTCCTGTCACGCCACCCCAGCATCCAAGAACAAAGAGCTTTCACTCCACTTCCTCCAAGGCAGTCCCCACCCCCTGAAGACCTACAGATGGATGAGGTAACTGCAGATGGTCTTGGGCTTACTGAGGCTTTCTGAGCCTGGGAGAATGGAAGACACCAACCTTTCCCCTCCCCCATACTAGGAGGTTAAAGTTCCAGTATGACCAGGGCAGGCTCCAGGCTGAGGAGGGACAGGGAGGCTGGCCACGTGGGCAGGGAGGGGAGTAGGGGGCCGAGTTGGGAGTTCTAGGATGGACCTTACTGCCTACTCAAGGCCATGGGTTGTCTGGAGCCCAGAAGGTGCTGAACCATGTCTTAAGTGACATCGAGCTGTTCCTGGGAAAGCTGAAGGAGGCCCAGGCAAAGACCAATCATAAGAAGAAGAAGAAATCTGGGAGCAAAAACAAGGACCAGGGGGGTGAGTGCTAAGGGCCCAGGAGAGGAGTGGGGGTATCTTGGGTGATCTGTGACCCACCACCTTTGCCCCTTCTCCCACAGGACCAACGGAAGCACAGTACATTGACTGCTTCCAGAAGATCAAGTACAGCTTCAACCTTCTAGTATGTGGCTCCTGACAAGTTCCCCAGCCCTATCTCCTCACCCCCACCCAGAAACCCTCTGCTCTCTAGACTTGGAGCATCCCAAGCCTTTCTCTTCTCCATCTGTCCCCTGGAAACTTCCCTCCCTTCTTAGGGCTTTTGGGGAGTACCAGGCTCCTGACAAAGTCATAAAACAATTATGGGGGATTTGAAGGAGTGAACTGGTAGTCACAGGCATTGCCCTGTGTCCCCAGGGGAAGCTGGCCATCATGCTGCAGGAGATAAGTGCCCCAGAGTTCGTGCATCTCCTCTTCCAAAGTCTGGACTTCGTGAGTTGAGGAAGGACAGGGTGGGGAAGAGGGACAGTCCGAAGTCAAGGAGGAGCAGAGGGAGGGAAGGAGGTGGTGGAGGGGATGGGGGACCAGGGGTGAGGGTAGAAGTCAGGGTGAAGAGGGAGAGTGTGAGGCCTGCTGCTTTCTCATCTCAACATACCCTCCTGCTTGACCCCAATATGCCATCTCTGGTATGAACAGCACTCCACAGCAGACTAGACAGGCCAAGCCAAGACCACCAGGGCTCTGAGGGAGACAGAAGGAGCAGCAGGCCCAAGGTGGACACGGCCACTTGCAGGAGGCAATGTGACAATGCAAAAGAGTCCAAGGACTCTAGTCCCTCTCCCACCCTTGCTTGGCCCTGAGGGAGCCTGGGCTTCCTGACACCTTCCATCCTCCCCCAGGTCCTGGCCCAGTGCCCTAAGGTGGGCCTAGCAGCCCAAGTGATCTCACCCCTCCTCACCTCCAAAGCCATCAGCCTGCTGCAGTCCTGTTTAAACCCACATGAGACTAACCTCTGGAAGGGGCTGGGCCCTGCCTGGACTACCAGCTGGTGAGTAAAGACAAGCACCAAACTGAATTGGGGGTGAGGAGGCCAGGCATAGAACAGGACATCAGATGTAGCCATCTCTACACTGTCACAAACCAAAAATCTTTCAAAACATTTTAGGGCTAGGTAATGGTGGCTCATACCTATAATCCTAGCACTTTGGGAGGCCAAGGTATGAGGATTGCTTAAGGCCAGGAGTTCAGGACCAGCCTGGTCAACATAGCAAGACACCCCCCACTCTAAAAAAGAATTTAAATTAGCCAAGCATGGTGGAGCATGCCTGTAGTCCCTTCCACTCAGGACACTGAGTCAGGAAGATCACTTGAGCCCAGGAGTTCAAGGTTATAGTGAGCTATGATAAATTTAACCACAGTACTCCAGCCTGGGCAACACAGCAAGATCCTATCTCTAAAAAAAAAAAAGAAGAAGAAGCTGGGGGGAGGGCAACTCGACATGGAGTTTCCCAACTAAGTGCAAATAGTTTATTTATATATATATGTGTGTGTGTGTTTCATATACATTTATATATTTCATATTTCATATATACATATGAAAGGAAAGCCTATAGCTTACCACCACCCACTACTGGAGGAAACACATTATCTCACAACAAAAAGAACAATTTTTTCCCAGGAAAGAAGATATGACAAACTTCTACTAAAATAACTTCTCATTTTGTCAAGGACAAAGAAAACTTTTGTCTCAATCCAGCCCAGAATTTAAGAACTACTGATATAAGAGATGTTGCAAACATAATCTCAATAAGACTTGGTAACTCACTGGCCAGGACTTCAGAGAGAAAGAGATAGTCCCGGTGGTAACTGTGAGACAGGCAGCTGGACAGAGGCCACACTGATGAGAGCCACGGGGGAAGGGGCATGGGGGACCAGCTTGGGCACACAAGCTGAGGTGTCTACGGAACATCCCACAGAGACCAGGTGCCCCAGCTGGAGGGGCCAATCTGGCCAAGTGGTACAACCATAGTCCAGAAGGGGTGGCTGGGGAGCCCTTCAGTGGGAGCCCCAGAAAGTGACAAGCTCGGTTTGCTCTATTCTGTGACAGAAGAGGGCAAGGCCTTGGGACACTTCTATGTGCAGGTGATAGAAGAAAAAAGGTTAAGAAGGCAAAGAGAAATTCCAGAGAATTAGAGCAGAACCTAAACAGCAGCGGGATGAAAAGGGTTTCAGAAAGAGAGAAGAGAGTTTCAAAAAGACAGAGAAGTCAATAGGGAAATAAGCTAGTTTGGGGGGCCAGGTGGCTCACACCTGTAATCCTACCACTCTAGGAGATTGAGGTGGTGGATTCCCTGAGCTCAGGAGTTCGAGACCAGCCTGATTAAGAGTGAGACCCCCAATCTCTAAAAGACAGCCAGGCATCATGTTAGCTGCCTATAGTCCCAGCTACTGAGGAGGCTGAAGCAAGAGGATCACTCAAACCCAAGAGTCTGAGGTTGCCATGAACTATGACTCCACAGTACCCTACCAAAGGCAACAAAGTGAGACTCTGTCTCAAAAAAAAAAAAAAAAAAAAAAACAGAAAAGAAATAAGCTAGTTTTTCTCTTTTGCCATTTTCAACCCCACTTACAGAGGCTTTTTTTTTTTTTTTTGGTCCCATTTGTCTAAAGACGTGAATTATTGTTCAAAACAATCCATTTTTATTGTGGTAGAATACACATAACATAACATTTGCCATTTTAACCATCTTAAGTGTGTCATTCAGTGGTATTCAGTCTATGAACAATGTTGTATAGGCAAAACCATTTTCTACATATTTCTAAAACTTTTTAGCAAACTAAACATAAATTCTGTGCCCCCATGAAATAATAATTCCCCATTTCCTCCTTTCCCCAACCTCTGGTAGCCTCTATTCTACTTTCTGTCTCTTTGAATTTACCTATTCTCAGTACCTCATATAAGTGAAATCATATAACATCTGTCCTTTTGTGTCTGGCTTGATTCATTTAACATAAGTCCTCAAGTTTCATCCATGTTGTAGCCTAAATCAGAATTCCCTTCTTTTTCATGGCTAAATAATAGTCCATTATTATGGATATACCTTTCTTTTATCCATTCATCTGTTGAAGGACACATGGGTTGTTTATACCCAAAACAATCTGTTTTCATGCATTTTTTTGTTCAATCATTAAAACGAAGTCATTTATGGATTCATAACAGCGTTCCATGGCCCAGAACCATGGGGTCTAATAGTACCCGCACAAGCCAATTCTGGAGCTCACTGGGTCTCACAGCCATGCTGGGCCCACTTCATCTGGGAGAATAGCCTTAGTATCTGTTTAGCACTAGCCAGACAGGAAAACAGGTTCTGCAATGGACTCAAATAAGAGAGTCTCAAATACTTTCATTCAGACACTTTGACATTGAATAACCATGCTGCATATACTATTTTGAGTTTCAAGATCCAGTCATACTTCAAGAATTTGAGACCTTAGAAAAATGTATGAGCAGTTATAACTTTTTAAAGTACCCAAAAAGATGTAAAACAACTCTAGTGTTCACAAAATGACACACACTTGATAAACACTTTAAATATAATACTGAGTCAGATGGGCCATTAGATGTTTTCTAGGTTCTTAACATAGCCAGAAATGAATGAAAAACAGAAACACAGAAAAGAGAATGATATTTAGAGACATAAAAACCCTTGAAAGAGTTGAATTTGCGGAGACTTACATTCAGGTGACTTGATTTCAGGCACACTGACCCAAAGCTCTTACTACCACTAAATGTTTGTGGTCATCCAGAAGGATGGCGACCATACAAGGCCATTAGATTTAATAGTCAGGATTTTAAATGGACTCATTTCAATAAAGTAATGGCAGAGGTAGAAATCAGTTGCAGGAATAATTTAAGAACCAGAGGCTAGAAAAATAAAGGCCGAGAATAGAGGTGCATTTGCAAGAAGTTTGGTAAAAAGAAGGTAATATGATGACCGCTTAAAAAGAGGAGGACCGAGGTCAAGGGATGACCTGAGCATATTTCTAAGGCAAAGAAGGAACCAATTAAGATTTGGAAGAGGGATAGTGTGTTATTAGCTGCCCCCTGTGTACCAGCCACAGTATCAGGCCCACAGCCCCCAAGGAGATCACTGCCACAAGAAACGATGATATTATTATAAGACTCATAAGCAATACACACATAGTGTGTGAGCAGCAATAATCCAGGAACATACCAAGTTCAGTGGAAATATTCACCTCTTCCCTAGTGAAGCAGCGAGGGAATTTTCTAAAGGAGAAAGTGGGCAAGTGGGCAAGGCCAGTGGCAAATATTCCAAGCAGAGCAAGGCTGGAGGCCACCAACAGCACAGCCCTCCCTGGTCCTGTGCAATGGGTGAGGCAGGAGGCTGAGAGGCAAGTGCCTGCCCCATCCTAGCATCAGTCAGAGCAGCTCTACCTGATCTATTTCACAAGGTGAAACTATTTAGCTAGAAAAAGACATCTGCTGCTGGGAAACAGGTCTGCTGCATGAGACCCAAAGAGGTTTTCCAGCCCCAGTGAATGCTCTGTGATTCCACCCCTTTGATTCAACCCCCCAATCAGTGCGATACAGTGTCCACCATGTTCTTATGGAAGTGATATATCTTCACCTCCTGGGCAGAGGTGATGCTGACACAAAGATCCCTGCCTGTGGGATTTGTTTATGTTAACTCTTTGCTGTTTCTGGATGTTGTGGGCTTTTCATCTGTGCACATGGGCCATGTCATCTACTAGCCAGAAGATTCCTGAGGCTGGGCCTTGTCATCTCCTCCCTCTTCACATCCCACAGCCTGCACAGAGTAGACACAGACTCAGCTTTGTTTCCCCCTCTCCCTAGCACTGATTGGACAGGCCAGGAGCCCCCACCCTACCAACCCACATTCTATGATGGCTGGCAGCTTCCAGAGCCCTCCAACCAGGTAAGTCCCCCTGATCTCTGGCTAGTTTCTGCCTACACAGCCCAAACCATTGTCACAGGACAACTACATGGGGGTGGGGGTGGGGTGAGGGTTGTGTGGAGCCTGGATCTGATGTTAAGCAGAAAGGGGGATAAGTGGCAGCTGCACGTGAGCAGGCTTGCAGTCTGACACCAGCCCCCTCCCACCAGGAGTGCTGCGTCCTGCTCTTGCTCACTCTCTGTTCTGTACTTTGCAGGCACACTTAGGACTCGAGGACTCCACTTCCCCTCGGTATGCCCTGGGCTTAGCGAGGACCCCATGGTCCTGGGAAGGGAGGGTCAGACTGCTCCTTTGATCTCTGCATCTCTGCATCTCAGAGTCCCTCTGGACTCTCTTTCAGCCAAACATGGACATGTTCAAGCTCACCCCTCTCTAACCTTGGGAAAAAAGCCTTTTCTTTTTTTACTTTAACCCTCCTTAGGCCCCCATCCCTTCTTGTCATGTTACTACCTACACATGTCTCTGATTTCTCAAGCTCAAGTACAGAGTGCTTAGAGCTGGCTGGACATGGTGGCTCATGCTTGTGATCCCAGCACTCTGAGAGGCTGAGGTGGGTGGATTGCCTGAGCTCAGAGTTCAAGACTAGCCTGAGCAAGAGGGAGAACCCCTCATCTCTACTAAAATTAGAAAAACTGAGGCAAAAGGACCACTTGAGTCCAAGAGTTTGAGGTTGCTGGGAGCAATGACGCCATGACACTCTACCCAGGGGGACAGAGTGAGACTCTGCCTCCAAAAAAAAAAAGTGCTTAGAGCAAAGCTCAGATGTAGAAAATTCTACCACTGGAAATGTTTTCAGATATCAGTGACATTTTGAACCCCTCTTAGCAGCACAAACCCCCACTCCAAGGCCTACCTAACACTGACCTGCCAATGAACTTTACAGAAACCCAAAAGTTAACACCAGACTGCAGGAGATATTTGGAGCTCTCTGGGTTGGGACATAGGCTCAATTTCTGAGGCCCCATTCTCCAGCCATCTTGACTGTTTCTTAAAAGGAGAAGTCCTGAATTAGAGAGCACCTCCCACTTTGCCGAGGAGAAGACACACAACCATGGCCCTCAGCCTGGGAACCCCAACTTCCGGCGCTCCAGCACCACACTTGTCAAGCCAGCCCTGAAAATGCAAGTCCTGTATGAGTTTGAAGCTAGAAATTCCCAGGAACTGACTGTGGTCCAGGGAGAGGTGCTGGAGGTGAGGCTTGGACCAGAGGCTTGACAAGGAGGTGGTGGCTGGTAGGAACTACAGGCAGTTTGGTGGGTGGTCTAGGGATAAACCAAGGTGGGTGGCCGAGTGGAGAAAGAAAGTGGGAAAGAGCAGGAGGGAGAAAGCATTGTGGGGAAGGAAATGGCTAGTTGGATAGGGGGGTGACTGAGGTGGTGTCTCTTGGCAGGTTCTGGACCACAGCAAGCGGTGGTGGCTGGTGAAGAATGAAGCAGGACAGAAGGGTTACATTCCCAGCAACATCTTGGAGCCCCTACAGCCGGGGACTTCCGAGAGCCAGGGCCAGTCGCCTCCTAGGGTACTACCCAGCATAGATTATCCAGAAGCCATACATTTCTGACTTGGAGAGTGGGGGTGGGGAGGATTGAATGGCAAGTGGGGGAGATAGTCCTGGTTGGATTTAGATGGTATTATCTCGTGTTTACTATGTGCCAAATTTACCATGGGGGCAGAGCACAGAACAAGCCTGAGTCCCAGCCAGAACAGAAAACCATGGAGTGAGATAAGTTGATTTGATGGGAACCCAGACGCCAGGGCTGTGAGATGAGATGGGCTCTGACTGCAGCTCCCCCTGATCCTAGGTTCCAATGATTCGCCTTAGCTCGAAGCCTGAGGAAGTCATGGCCTGGCTGCAGGCAGAGAATTTCTCCACTGTGTGAGTGCCTACCCCTCGGGGTCGGGGAAGAGAATCTTTGCAAAGGATCCAGATAATAACCAAGGAAACCCAGCAATCCAGAACATATACCCTGGTCTACATGGTACATTACAGACCCTGCCCCAGCTCTGTCCCTGCTGAGTTAGAAGGACAGAAGCTGGGACTTTGTCCAAGCGTAGGTTAGAGCACTAAGACGGGAACTCTGCTGTGCTGAAGGCAGCAAGGATCAGGAGAGTGAGCTCGGTAGGGAGCTCAACTGCCAGCTCAGCTACCTTCCCTACCGAAAGATTCTCTTCCAGAGCACTTCTCCCTTCAAAGGTGGAAGTTCTGAGATTGGTTTCAGCCAATTATTTGACTCCTTCCCTTTCAGATACCCTATTCTGTGAATTCTCCTATAACCCCAACCTCCTAGTCCCTTCTACACCCAAATATTCAGGCCCAGGGTCCTTTCACCCCACACTGATGGCTTCTACTGTTTTTGTTCACAGCACGGTGAGGACCCTTGGGGCCTTCACAGGGAGCCAGCTGCTTCACATGAGACCTGGGGAGCTACAGATGCTGTGTCCACAGGAGGCTCCAAGGATCCTGACACGTCTGGAGGCTGTCAGAAGGATGCTGGGGGTGAGGACACCCTGGGGTCTTGACTCCCACCAGGAGTGTCTGGTCCTGCCTGGGTGAGAGTGCCAGCTGGGCTAGCCTGCAGGCTGAGCCCTGGGGTGGGACTGAGTATGACAGGTGCTAGGCACAGGGTATTTCTCCAGGGACTTAGCTTCATGCATTCAAGCACACCTTTAGCCTCCAAGTTTATTGGTGGCCTGAGCTCTGGAGGGCCCTCACCTGGCACTGGCCTCATTTGAGTCCTTTTTCTTTCTTCAGATGAGTCCTTAGGCACCGGCTTAGACACCTCCAAGGCCAAGTCCCTCACATATGCAAGATGGCAGATCTGACACTCCTTAGAGCACCAAGAATTCCTCTTCCAGGTCCCTAGGTTGCAGCAAACCTCACACCCTGGCTCACACAGCAAAAAGGATGAGCAGACCCAGAGGCTGAAGCAAATGGTGCTCCCTTCTAGCTGTGTTGAGAGCCATCCCCGGTGATTGCCTATTTATTTTATCTCTTTCCCAAGCCTGGCATACTTCTGCCTAGGCTTGTTAGGAGTCTATTCAGTCCCTCTCCTTCCCAATAAAAGCATCTTCAGGCCCTTGCAGCTTCTTCTGGATGTAATGGGGGCCAAAAGCAGGGAGGTAGGGAGGGCTGGAACGCTGGGCATGATACAGCAGCAATGCTACATCCATCATGGAGCCAGACTGAGCATGAGTGGGAATTCACACTGCAACCTGGAGCTGGGCATCAGAATTTGAGAATTGTGGTCTAAGCTCTCCTCACTCTTTCTAAACAAACTCCAAAATAAGACTGTGCTCACCATCTTCTCCTGCATACATTTCTCCTAGTGCATTCCAAGGCACCCAGTATAGCCAAAGGAACAAGGCTTCAAAGAGCACCAGGCTGACAGTTATAGGTTTTGGTCAGCCCTGGCCAGCAATCCAGAGCAGCACTGGCAAGCAAGGCAGGTGCTCCAGGCTCTACTTGATAACTTCCTCTTTTGACACAATTTTTGTCCCTTGCTGTTGGGTGAGCTGACCTTAAATTCCCACCTAGCTTGTCTTTTTAGTATCAGAGTGTAAGGAACATAGGACTCAAAGTTGAAAGGCCAACAACTGGCTATGTGAACTCCAGCAAGTCATTCCACTCTCTGGGCCCCTGTTTTCTCAAGGGTTAAGTGAAGAGTTTGGACTATTTGTGGCTCCTTATATTTCTTAGTATAAATAGCTTTTTTATTTTTTTTTTTTTGAGACAGAGTTTCACTTTCTTGTCCCTGGTAGAGTGCTGTGGCATCACAGCTCACAGCAACCTCAAACTCTTGGGCTGAAGTGATCTTCTGGCCTCAGCCTCCCAAGAAGCTGGGACTACAGGACCCACCACAACAGGCTATTTTTTTTTTAGTTCTTATAGCATAACTGTGTACATTAATGCAATCATGGGGTACAGTGTGCTGTTTTCATATACATTTTTAAATACTCTCATCAAACTGGTTAACATAACCTTCATGTCATTTTCTTAGTTATTGAGTTAAAACATTCATACTCTGCTTTTAGAAAGATTCACTTGTGCCCTTGTAAGATAAACCATAGAGGTGACCCTACCAATCACCCTCCCTCCCCCATCCACCTCCCTTCCCATATTCTAAGGCTATAATTAGGTTATGACATTCCTATAAAAGCTATGAATTAGTTTCAAAATAGGGCTGTGTACATTGGATACTTTTTCTTCCATTCTTGAGATACTTTGCTAACAAGTACATTTTCTAATTCCATCCATATAAACATGAAGGAGGTAAAGTCTCCATCTTTCCTTAGGGCTGCATAGTGTTCCATGGTGTACATGTACCACAATTTATTGATCCATTCGTGAGTCAATGAGCATTTGGGCTTCTTCCATGACCTAGCAATTATGAATTGGGCTGCAATAAACATTCTGATACAAATATCTTTGTTGTAATTCGATTTTTGGTCTTCTGGATATATACCTAATAAAGGAATTGCAGGATCAAATGGCAGGTCTATTTTTAGTTCTCTCAGTGTTCTCCAGATGTCTTTCCAAAAGGAATGAATTAATTTGCATTCCCACCAGCAGTGTAGAAGTGTTCTCTTTACTCCACATCCACACCAACATCTCTGGTTTGGGATTTTGTGATATGGGCTAATCTTACTGGAGCTAGGTGGTACCTCAAAGTAGTTTTGATTTGCATTTCTCTGATGATTAAGGATGGAGAGCATTTTTTCATATATCTGTACACCATGTGCCTGTCTTCTTTAGAGAAATTTCTATTCAAGTCCCTTGCCCACCCTGAGATGGGATTGCTTGTTTTTTTCTTGCTAATACATTTGAGTTCTCTGTGGATTCTGGTTATTAAACCTTTGTCAGAGACATAATCAGCAAATATCTTCTCCCATCCTGAGGGCTGTCTACCCACTTTATTTACTGTGTTCTTGGCTGTGCAGAAACTTTTTAGTTTGATCAGGTCCCAAAAGTGTATTTTTGACATTGCTTCAATTGCCTGAGGGGTCCTCCTCATAAAATTTT